GCAATGTTTATTGGATCTTTAAAAATACACTACTTTATTACAACATACATTAAGAATTAAACTAGTTTTTTATCTATAAATTAATCGGAAACTTGCTGCAATGATTGTTTAACATAAATGATATTAATGAAATGTTGATCCTAAATCCTGGTAATATCTGTTGGACGACTTTTTGAGATTATGTTTTTGTCGAACAGATACTATGCTTTTAAAACAATAGATGACTGCTACTAGAGTCCTAGAACAAAAACCCACAAACCACAAAAACCCCCAAAATTTAGGTTTTTCTGGAAAAAACTGGGTTTTGCTAACCCTGGCTAATGGCATAGTTCAACTGCTTATGTTAGCAAAAAACAAAAACAATAGGTGAATTACAAGTCGTGAAGTATTTTTATAAATATGTCGACATAATAGACATTAGTGCATGCGACTATATCATATTACTGTGACAAACAAAAACATATCTCTATATATTTAGAAATAATGTCTTCATAGGACGAGATGGAATCGAATATTACAACAACTCTATATATTTTAACGATTCTGACAAAACTAATGACTCTTAATGGAAACAGTGATGAATCAGATTTGACACAAGCACATCATCTAGTACACAAATTATGCGCATTAAAAGTATGTTTGAAAGATGGGCAGACTTTACTACATCTTGCTGTGAATGTTGAAACTCCTGTCGACGATTTTCATACTAACGATGTCTGCAAGTATGTCAAAATGCCATATTAAAATAGCATTAGTAACCAAGATTAGCATTGAACAAATTATTTGTGTGGTTTCCAGATTTCCGTGTGCAGCTACAGCACGATTATTGATTCGCTGTGGTGCTGACATAAACGCGATGGATAGCGAAAGAAATACTCCGCTTCACGTTATTGTTGGTTACAGTAAAGCAATTAGGTGTGCTGTTAAAATAAATAATATCCAACTTTATACCGATACAGATTTAATAATTTTTTAAATATTTTTTTCAGCGATTTTGCGACCTTACATTCAATTATAATAGATCTGATTGAAGCTGGAGCACATATGGATACTGTAAATAATAGAGGTCATACTCCGTACGATGCGGTTACTACGGGTAAATTTGCAAATTTTATTACTGATTTGCGTATTTCGCTGCTGCGTTATCATATGATTATTTGGCCAAAATTCAATTTCTATTTCAGGTGTAGCTAAAATAATATTACGTACTCGAACCAAATTGTCCTTAACGTGTATGGCAGCCAAAGCAATTAAGACTTATGACCTACCGTATCGTGGTAACGTTCCACGTTCACTTGAAAGTTTTATAGAACTTCATGGGCCTGGACTTAATCAGAGTTGACAAGTCTTTAACATTGCCATAACAAATCGAAATTTTCTTGTACAAAGCATATCAATACTTAATAATATTTTTATATAAAAAATACGCTAAATATTCGAATAATCTAAAATTTTATCATAATTTAATCTACATGGAATTAAGATTTTAGATCTGGTGAAAGACACCGATGTGCGACTTAAACAAAATTGTACAAAAATTACACGCAAAAGATGTGTTTTACGATATATATATATGTATATATATATATATCATATATATATGTATATATATAAGATTGCTACAACTCTTATTCAACGATGCACTCTTGAGATAATGTTTCTTTTTATATTAAATATAATATATTTTTTAGATGATAAATAGTATTGATACATAAGCCGTATTCTAATATACATTGCTAGTTCTGAAAATCTATAGTTCATGTTATATATACTATAGATTTTCAGTACTGACAGTGTATATCGGAACACGGCTATAGTCGCTGCGTTATAAAGTATTTTAAATAATAATTAGCCATTGTGCATTCAATTTTTGCTGTCGTTTTCACCAATTTTAACTGTAATTACTGTGATAAATAAAATCAAATTAAATATACTTTTCAAGTTATACAAATTGTGTGTGAGTTTAGACTTTTTGCACGTATTGTTCGATTATGTGCTATTCCTCTTTGCTAAAGACGTCTGCTGTAATACGTTCTGGAAAAGTATAAAATATATATTTTCGTTATTGCTATATTAAATTTATTTAATATTTACACACGCACTCTCTGTATACAATCGTGTGAAACTAGGAAGATAATAGTAAAATATATAAGAATATACATATCGCACGATACTTTACAATATATTATTTACAATGTTTACACAGACTCGTTTATCTTATCTATTTTACACATTTTACAACGGCGCTCGCTTATCAATAACACTTCTGTACAAATATACACGTGTGTTCAAAATCTTTTGGCAAAAAGAAAAGAAAAAAAAAATAAATAGAGTAATCCTTAGGCAGGTACAATCTATTCGCGGCGGCAGGATTTACGTAGGCATGCATCCACTCGCGTCTAAAGAGACGGAATGCATCTTCGTTGCTCCGTGTTAGCGCGTAACCGGACATGCCGATTTACGCATCTAATTTGCTGCCCTGTCCCTTTAGTCCTTTTAAAACACTATGACAACATTGCGGAAACGTTAATGCGATCCAACGACCACGGTGAGGTACCCATTCATGTACATTTCCAGTACAAAAACGGTCAATGTTGCCTCGGTTGATACTTCATCGCGTGTAGAAGAGACATTTCTACATCGCTGAAAATACCATTAGTCAATTGCGTATTTCCGACACGTGATTTCATTGCTCACTTGCTGAAGTGTTACAATGTTTCTCGCAGTGTGATATGTTATAGTTAGTGATGCACAATATTTGCCGACGTTAATCGCTTCATATTGATATCGCGCTTATTTCCACACACACAGTTCATCTCATTTTCACAAATGTCTAATCGACATCTCTAACGCATTATGTGAGTTCGTGATTTCGCAAGTACATAAAAAGTTACATATCTCGCTTGTACATATTTTTATCACTCGATATAATTTGCGTTTAGAGATATGTTAAATTTAATTGATTGTTTTAATATCGCCGTTTAAAAACTCTTGTATCATGAAAGTTTGATAGATAAAATCGAGCGCGTTTAAAGTAAATAAATTCCAATTTATTTCAAAAGAAAACAAATATTTAAAGAGCAGTCGCTTTGATCGATGGAATGTTTTTAATCGAAGTTTCCATTGCATCGCAACGTATTTTTCTTCACGTATTTATTGAGGCAATGCATGTATCAATATACATATATATTATTATTCAACAATAATATATAAAGTATATTTCGCGGATTCTATTTGCATATTGAATTAAACATTACAATGACAGCTCTTTCTTTACGCGAATAATACATAATATACATCTTTCATAATTTATAAAACGGCGTTTTATTCCCTGATATGAATATATTAATACAATCGAATAAAAGTTAAATATGCGCGGTCAGATTGATTAGATAAGATTTATTACTTAAATTAGCGTTCTGCTAGGACTTGGCAGAATTTGTTCCGAAAACAATTTCATAAACAAAGAAATACAAAAACCGCTGATAAAAAATATAAATGAAAAATGCGAGTCACACGCGAAAACACTCGTGCATGCTTGTGTCCTTCGCATTACGAAGATCCGAACGATATATTTGGTGGATGTTAATTCGCAAAATTGTACTTCTCGGCCACCTTCTTAAATAGGAGTTATTCTTACCATCATTTTCTCAATTGGGCCTGCTAAACGAGTAGCTACTCTCATCGTCGCGTTCTCAATAAACTCTGACAATGACCCGGTAACTATCGCAATTGTCACTTGATTCTGTCACAATTCGCAGTTGAATTTAGTGACGATTAGAAGCTTAACGACGTCAACCGTTCTTGATTAACTCATATTTTTTAATAGATAGGCAATCAGATCAATCTATATTACGCCAAACTGATCCATTACAGTAGAAGCTCTCCATTTTGAGACAACTGCCCTCTTGTAAATTGAATATTTTTTTGTCTCTCACTGCACATACGCCATGTAACCACGTGGTCAGTATCATTAGAGCGAAAGTAAGAATCGACAAGTTATTTCAAAATGGAGGGATAACTCAATTCCGGCGATCTCAAAGAATGGAGAGATTCTATTCAAGAAAAAAATCTACTTAAGGAAAAAGAAAGTCAACATCGATCGTTACATTTCCGGTAGAAGTCAAAAGACTAAGACCTCTGTTTAAAACTGATCTATATCGAGATCTACTGAATGAATGCTATCTTTTAATCAGCGGTAATTATCTGTAGTTTATTTCCTTCATTTTAAATCAGCTAATTTCTTCTGAATTAGAATTTTTTCTCGTGCTACTTCTCGTTAATATTCGCATTTTCCACATATTACAAATGAATAAATAGTAGACATTGTAGGTAAAATCTTAAAAAAGAAAAAAAATATTTTCGATTTCGTAATCTTAAGATTAAAAGATCAATTTTTTTTATATTCGATTAAAGGTAATCTTCAATTTACAATTTTATATAAATAATGATTCAACAGAAAACATTCCTCGATGAATGCTTCCCAAATCAATCTCGTTACCGAATAGCAATATAATACCATTCGCGTTTATCTCTATTTTATTATCGTTTGTCATGTCTAGCGACAGATTATATTTATCATACACTATTCTTTGATAAATTCTGTCCTTTTTTCCTTTAAGAATATACAATTTACCATAACTTTACTCGTGTTTCATTCTAAGACTGCTTTCCTGTTAGGAAATACAGTCGACATAAATGTCGACTGTATTTCCTAAAAGTTTTATCCTTCCTGACATTCAATGAATAACAAAAATAGAATGACTTGTGTCGACTATCTCCTAAAAAAAATACAGTCAAAAATCATCTTTTTACATCCGTAAAAGTGGTAGCGAGCACATACAAAACTGTGAATCGGTTTGCGGCATGCAGATTAAATAATCTCTATCTTTTTTCGTTTCTTCATCTTTTCGCGTCATTTCATCATTTCGACGATCAAATGACCGGTATTCATAGTAGATTCTTATATTTAAGATCGTCTAAGTACAGTCTTAAGATGTCATAAGTCAATTACAGAACCATGTATTAGCATTTTAAAACATTACTTAAGACGATCTTGAAAGAACTATGAATGCCGGCCAATGTGTCTCGCGTGCGAGCAAACGAGACCGTAGGGTGTAGTCAAGAGCCTCAGCGTCAGTCCATGATCCAGGACCGCCATGTCCTAAGGTGCGAGCCAAGTCTCTATAAATGCTTTGAAGAAAGAATTTTACAAATTGACCAATTAAAGATTAGTTGCTTCAAAAACATTTATGGCATCACGTTGACCGTACCCCTAACCTCAGACAGCACGCATGTCCAAAATCGGGACATAAGACGTCTCATGGGAAGAGTTGAGTGACTTCAGCTCTGGGCGGTCGATCTGTGGATCCGAATTCAATTCCACCTATGCCCCATATACACGATTTTTCTGCGTTTAAGGACAACATCGCTCCATCTAATAATTAAGAACTAATCTTTACTCAAGAAGCAATATCGCTCCAATATGTGTAAAAGTGAAAGTACCCTTATTAAGTCAGGGCTGATTAAAATATAAAAAGGCATAGGACCTGGCGTTAGACAAACGTCGATTTGAAAGGACTGTCAACATCATATGAGTCTCTGTTCTCTGAGGAAGTCAAATACACGAATTTATCGCATAGTACTATGACCTACGTGATAAATTCATCTAATTGGGTTGGAAATCCATACAAAATAAAAAAAAATAGACGTCTCATGTTCCGATTCCAGACATGGCGCTGTATGGGGATAATATACTTCAACACTAACTTATCCTGCTTGACCAATGATTACGCTGATAGCGTAGAATAAAAATAGTGCTGTCAGCTGTCTTAACGACAACCGCATCCAAGGACCGCCATGTCCTGATAGTTTTTCAGCACTACTTTATTCTCCTCGTCTAGATAAAGCATCGATATCGAGCTGAGCGCGGTTGGCACGCAACACGCCTTAGGTACCATTGTCGGCTTTGTTGAGTAAACGAGGGTCTGCACGATCGCGTGATTCGTCGAGTTCAGATGGTCCGCCAGAGGAAACGGGCAATCACCGTGGCAGTAGAAGGCGTCGTATCCGGGCGGCGCGACGATCCAATCGTTCCAGCCGACGTCCGCGAAGTCGACGTAGAGCGGATGCCGCCGGCAATTCTCGCGGCCGTCCTTCCGCCGATTCTTCCGTAGGGTGGCTCGCCTGGCCCGTCGGTCCAGTATCTGATTCGCGGATGCCATCTCATAACGGCCGTCGTCCATATACGTGTAGAGCATCGGCCGGCTCACCACCCACGCGTCCTTGTGTTCGTCGACGGCCCGTCTCAGCCGCACGTGTTCCCGTGTGCGGACTAGCGCACCAGTCACGTGCACCAGCAGCCCGTGGTTATCCTGATGATTCTCTATCCATCTCACCACGGCTGGATGCACGTCCAGATTAATCGTGGCATTTTTCGTCGCATCGATCACCTTGCTGTCTATCAGTCGCAATATCGGCTTACTATGACCCTTCACGCCGGGCCGTATTATGTCGTACACCAGTATCCGGCCGCGTTTATGTTCCGCGCTTACTGCATTTTCAACGTCCGCCACCGCGACACGCGTCAGACTCAACTCCGCTGCCTGCAACGTCTCGCCACTAGGTACCCTGCTTAGATTGAAGGACAACCGGAAACGGTTTGGAGATTGGAACTTGTGGTCCAGATCGCTCTCTGAAAACAAAGAGTAGAAATACCGTTAAAGACATCGTGTTAAATAGCTCGCGCAAATCTAAGATTTTGAGATGTATGTAAACGAAGAATTACTTTAGACCCAGTAAACATCAACTGTTATAGAAGTAACATAACTTCAATGTTATAAACAATTACATAAATATATAAATAAGGAATCTTAATCTTAAACAATAAAATAGAAATTCAGACAAGGCTAATGAGAATCTAACGTTGATGTAAGAGCGAAGAGTGATGGTCCGTCTACAATACACGTAGTAAGCTTGGTTTAAGAAGTAAGAATAAGAAATTGACCAATCACAGTCGATTATTCTTCTCACATTCGACTGTGATTGGTCAATTTCTTACTCTTCTTAAACCAAGCTTATTCCGCATATTGTAGATGACGCATTAGATGCAGATAATACTTATTGTTCAATGTTAATTTCACACTCAACAATATAAATATAATATAACGCATATATATGTTGTATTCCAATCGACACCAACTAAAAGTTGTTACTTAACATCATGTTATATATAATTTCGAAATAATATAACTGTTATGCAACACCGTGGGTTATATATTCTATTTGGGGAGTTAAATAAAAGTTTTTTTTTTTTTCAAAAACCACATAGTATTTTATTTATATAGTTTTATTTATATATACATATAAAATACAGAAAGAGAAATGTAATTAATAATGAGAGTTTTTCATTCAGAGGAAAGTTTAATTTTTAGAAAAAAACAAAGTTGAGTTTCAGTTTTTATTTATGTCAAAGAAACAGCAGCTGATGAATTAAAAATGCAACGCAGCAAAATCATCATTCCAAAGTAGAATCCATGTCTTTAGACTTTTCGCTTTTTACGAAGGCATGTTATCTCATAGGTCGCGAATGAATTAAAAATAAACCATGAATTGTGTAGGAAGACTGCTTAGAAATTCAGAAGAGGTGATTCTCAATGTCCTGTTGTGTCGGTGAATTTATTGGACGTGTTTATTATCTTACGGCATTTATATTAATAAGGAGTGCCGCCGGAATGATTTTCCGTTCGCGTGACCTACGTGAATATTTTACGACGTACAAGACGTGCACGTAATTTAAGTTATGCTTCTACGAAAATAGCTAATAACGTTTAACGTTATGACGCAGTTGTTCCTCGGAAACAGCTTGAAAACAGTGGATGCAGCAGGCAATCATATAGACGCAGTTATAATGCGTATGTAAATTTCGTAAGCGTCGCTGAATCCTAACACATACACACACACATACTTTACATACGCAGAATCTAGCAATTTCTGTGGAAGCAAAGAAGTAGGAGTATCAAAGAGCTTCTTGTTAGAGTTTTATAATATATGATCCGCTCCAAATTTTTATTACCTTTTTTATTATCTTATTTTTATTATCTTCAAACTAATAATTATAAAAGAAAAATACTAACAAAGAATAGATTGCATAAATTACGAAAATATTGTCATATTTTCTTACAATTAGGTATATTAAATTATTATATTATAAAACATAAAGTATTATATTATTGTAATAATTTCATCTCTGGTTTTATAAATAGATCAGTATATAATTATACAAACTACGTTTTTTCCAGATATTTATTAAATTATAGTTTTTTTTATTATCTAATAATTTAAAATATTATTCTAAAGCTATCTATATCGACAATATTAAATCTTCAATTTTTAATATAAAATAATATAAACTTGTGTTTTTTTGTATTGTGTGTGTGTTGTGTAAGACTGATAGTGTGTTTTTTATCATAACAATGTGCCTGGAAGGCATACGTAATCTTTAAAGTATCAGAACAATGTCATTTGTCAATAAAATATAATATGAGCGTTTCTTTGTGCATATATATATATATATATATATATATTACGATGACGCACTTGAAATGTCATCGAGTTTTACTTGCAAATTTTCATAATAAACGTGATAAAGTAAATAGAATTTCTAACAGTCATTTCTAACTAGTCATTTCATTAAACCGTCGATGACTGCAGAACAATTGAAAAGTGTCGAATACCTAATATATGCCTACATATCATTAATCGTTATTTTTAGGGCTCCTATAGACGAGCGACTTCATAGCGTCACAATCGAAAACGTCGACTGTTCATACGGAACTATATTCTGAAGAGCTACAGAAAAGTGAACATATTCGCCACACTTTTCTCCGTAACTCCATATACGAATAGGCCTGTTCTTTTTGGTTGAACTTTTGCACCAGTTCATCTTTCTTCCTTTTCTTTCCTCCTGAAGAGAAAAGGAAGAAAGATGAACTGGTGCAAAAGTTCAGCCAAAAAGAACAGGCCTAATGGGTCGGCGTTTTCGATTGTGGTGAGATGAGGCGAGATTCTCATGTCGAAGATACGGAAACAATTTGTGATAATAAAAGGAACATGTTTTGGCGTGGTATTTACGATTTAGCCTTCAATGCGGATATAATCAGATACGCTTTTATCAAAATGATTTATTAAGACGGGTTTCTCGCGATACGGTCACTTTCCATTGCACATCTTTCTTAATTGCTCTTGGCACTTTCTCCTGCGTTATATCATCCCCATAAGCTATTCTACTATTCCAATGTTTAGCTTCAGAATCATTTCAAGCAGTTATCCATCCATCGTAACGCAGATTCAAAAAAGAATTGGCGAAGAACGCCGATCTGCCCGAGCTAATCCGGATGTGAATCATTGGAACGGAAGTTGGACCTCCTGAGAGCGAAAGATACCGGCGGTTCTTCGAGAGTCCCTTCGGACATTCCAAGGTAGTCTCATCATCGTGGCGATAATACACTCACAAAAAAAGATAGAACGTGTAAGGAACTAGATCTGTTTTTTTCTTTTGTCGTCGAGGCCCTGTGGGACACTAAAGTGCGGAACCCACGGCACGTTCCCCACAATCACCGTGACCGAAAAGCCCTTTGTCGGTTGGACAACCATAAAATCGTTCGAATGCCATTCTTCTCCTTTTCACACAGGAGGCGAGTCGCGCAAAGGCAACGCATTACTCGCAGGTATATTCCTAAACTCTTAAGACGGAGTCTAAAGAGTCAATTATCCAAATCGTCTCTTTGTAAAGATTAAAAATATTTTGTCAGAAATCCAGCGTATTTACCACCTATATTCTCGTTCGCTATTCTAAAAAAGACAGTTTAATTACATAGAAGGTTTTATGTAGGATTATTGTATCCAACCAGAAATTATATACGTATTATCTACAAAATTAATCAAATTGTGAAATCTTTTATAAGAAAATTCGTACACTCTTTAATATGAAGCTTTTACATATGAAATTCTTCCACAATATATTATTTTCACTAAATGATAATATGAATTTTTTTATAAAGAGAAAGAATCACATGTTTCCTGCACATGGCTTGGAATAAACCTTAATGCCTACAATTATGTCAATCAGGTTAATTACGCCAGTTATGCTTAATGTAAACCTGTAATTTACGGGATAATGCCTTCCCAAAATTACCGCGTGACTAACAAATTCGTGTAAATGAAGTGAAGGAGAAGAATATTTATACATCGTAAAATTATTATAATTATAGATTCTTTGTAATCGATCAATGCTTTGCATTTATGTCAAGCTTATGTTTAGAGAAAAGTATTTAATATTTTTGTAACTGTAATTGCACGTTAAAATAATTATGATTAGAAGCTCCGTTATTAATTATTACTGCTATATAATTACTACTCCTACCTTATTAATAATAATGATTATATTTATAGTTCTACTAAAAAATATATAGTTGGTACTGAAGAAAATGACTATATATTATAGTTAAATTATGATAATTGCAATCATTTTTCACTCAGAGTACAAGATTCTGTATTTTAAATTCTTTTTAATGCAGGTAATATTTATACTTAGATATAATCTTATATAATTATTTATAACATTATTTAACTTGTTATTGATGCAAAAGCGAATCATTCCAGAAATCCGCAACCAGAGATCTGCAAAATTACATAATCGCATATAACAGCGTTCGAGAGAGAAGTGACGTCGTAGCAATATGTAGAAAAATACGGAATTATTGAATCTTATAGTTCGAAAATTTGTCATTCACGTTTGTCGACGAGACATAGAAGGAATAACGATTGATAACGGGTGTTCATTGCATTCCGTTTACTACTGCACTTTCACTGAGAGTCGAAAGAGTCGCCAACCTGTTTTCGAATTACGAATTCCAACTCGCTAGTTCTTACCATCGTTTAATGATTCACGAATTGCGAATACACAGTAAAGACTCCTATGTTTATTCACACGTATTGACAGAATCATTTTTTTTTGTTTATCAGTTTAAGATATAATAAACTCATTCAGAAACACAACCTATAACCATATCAATGGCTGCGTTCAGCAGAAAAAGCAGTTTTGTATAATTATAAAAACAACTGTTGTAAAATTCTTTAATATAATTCGTTTCATCTGTAATTCCTCATTAGATCTAAATGTGTAAACCAGTAAACTAATCATATTAAAAAATCTTTTAAAACAGTTGCAAACCTTTTTCTGCCAAACGCAGTCACAATGCACATACCTGTAATTTCTATTATTGAAGCTTTATCAACAAATAATTTATAAACAGCTTGATTTTGTGATTCTGTTGTAACTATAATTTTACTCATTCACATCCGAAAAGATTTGTTCATACTACTAAACTCAAAATATAGTATAACTTCGTCGACAAAATTTATTCGATTCTGTTTCGATAATGCTATTCCGTTGTTTCTAAAAATTTGTACACTAGGCGTCATTGATGCCTTCCAGCTTGAAATTTATAATTCCCTCTGATTGTACACATCATATCTATACACTTAAAAAAAAAGAAATTTGCTTACATGTAACGGAAGCAAATTTCTTTTTTTTTAAGTGTATAGATATGATGTGTACGATCGGAGGAAATTATAAATTTCCTAGTGTACTTTATCAGTAGACTTAAAACCATAGCACATAAAAAAACTTAAGATGTAAGACTTAAGCAGTAAGCGAATCGACTAATCACAATAGAGACCGTAAGACCATAACGTAGCGAATCCAACATGTTGATTTCTTTATTGCTTAAGGGGATCCTAAACCAACAGGAATTGACAATTGCAGAATGCCAATTTCTCCGAATTGGCTTTATAGATCACCAATAGATCCTTTTACACAAAAAGTACGCACAAAAAATACCGCCCACACTAAATTTGACGAGAAAATCGGAGAAAAAATTAAAAATTCTTGATATGCACAAACAATCTTGAGTTTGTGAAATTATGATGGAAGGCCTAACAAAAAAGATTTTCCAAAATTAAAGTCGTCTTTTTTGTATAACAATTACTTTTTCCCCTTTTACAGATTCGAAAATCCTTTTCCAGGATTAAAATATACACATTAATACGTGTGTATGAAGTGGAATTTATTCCGAGAACGACAAAAAATTTCGAAATTGAAATCTTAAGAAAAATTTTTTGTCGTTCTTGGCAAACTCCACCTTACAGACACGTATTAATGCGTATACTTTAATTCTGGAAAAGGATTTTCGAATCTGTAAAAGAGGAAAAAAGTAATTGTTAAACAAAAATTATGATAAGTCGGTAATACAAATGGCTTTAGGATCCCCTTAAGTCTTACGTCTTAAGTTTTTGTATGTGCCAAGGCTTTAACGTCCGTTTTTATCTAAGTAAATTCATTCTAATCTTGGTTTCTTTTATGTTTTATCTTTTTCTAGTTCTAAAGCTCCTATTCTTTTCGTTTCTTGTTTCTTGCTTTTTGTTGTTTTTTCTTGTCTTTTTGCTTCTTATCTGGTTTTTTATTTTATACCGCTCGAGATAGAAGTTAACGAACTTCGGAAGAAACAAGAAACACGTAGCAAAAGATACAATTGTTGATAAAACGGTTGCAAAGGGGGAAAAAGCAAGAAACAGGAAACAAAGAGCACATTGTAGAATACGCTTAAGAATCAGAAAAAAGATAAAGAGTAAGCTAAATTGAAATTAAAGCTAATCTATCTCCAAAGTTATCTCCAAAAATGGTAAAGAGATATATTTTTTGTCATCGAATATTTGTATTTTTATAATTTCCGTTAAGATAATTTTACACAGAAAAAATAAAGTATTGACAATATTAATCTAATTAAAAATTAACTAGTTAATTTTTTTTACGATAATGGTATTAATAAAACAAATATTTTGTACTCTTACTTTAATAAAATATTATTTGTTTTATCAATACTATTTTATATATAATATATATATATATATATACATGTATACTATACAATATATTGACAAGATTATTTTTAATTAGATCATTGCTGTAAATACATAATTTTTTCATATAGATTTGATCTTTCATGACACACGTTGTTGTAAAAGGACAACAATAATTTTCTTATCATAACGATATTTCGCATGTTACGTATATTAGAATAGACTAAATAATATTTTATATCGTATTAATAAAATCTAATTAAATAAGAGAAATTCCTATATTCGGTAAAAGCGGATCTTAGTATTTAAATATTTCTTTATAAATTTATATATACATATCATGATTCTGCAAACTGTGCGCCGAAATCTTTTTCGGTCTTGAAATGCATTCGTGAGCAGAACTAGAGTAGTAATATCACTTATTAAATTGACAATTTAATAATTTTTGAGGCTAATAAGTATCTTTATAAGAATATTAATAATTAAATATTAATGAAAATTTTAAATCTGAGAATAATTTTGATTGCGAAAAAATCATAAATAAAAAATAAAAGAATATGATACAAAATTTAAAAAAATAATAAAAACAGTTAAAAATAAGAAAAAATGACATAATATTATTAAAAAAACAATGCACGCGTATCGTGTGTCGCAATTTGGCGCGCATCATCTAGTTATTAATTATATTATTTATGTCATTACTATTAATAGTTAATTTTCAATGCCAATTTTCTCAAATAGTGCGAGTTACCTCTTCCAACCGTAATACAATTGATGTAGTTCAACTTACCAATATGTGGGAACGAACGAACGGTGTTGGCCGATCGCGCATGAATACCCGGCTTCGCGATATCCGCGATACCGATGGCGTTCTGACGAGCGTGAAGATCCCTGAGCGATTTCGGGATGTGCATTCGACCTTGCGGCCTCGGTCTCTTCGTGAAGCCCAGGAGGGAGAGCAGGCTAGCCTCCATCCCGGCTATCACCTGATCGCGATCCTTCGTTCCAAAGTGATACGACGACGTGGCCGAGTCCGTGTCGATGCGTAGGTGTGTCCCCGCGTTAGCATTCGCACTTGCCAGCAGCGTGACTGCTGCCACAAGCACTAACCCCAGCGGCAGCGACATACGCATCGTGACGTCGTCACTCACTTACGTTACCTCCCTGGAAGCACGAAAAGAAGAAATGTGTTAAAAGAGGTTGCCATTGTAGATTAGTGACTCGCTACTGTACAATTATGGCAGATTCTGGATTCTAGATTATCTCCTGTTTGATACAAAAATACATTTCTTCTTGATGAAAAAAACTAGACTGAACTTCTAGACTTGTATTCGAAGTCGAGTCTTGTATTTAAGACTGTCGTAAGTACGTACAATCTTACAATGTCATGAATCAATCAGAAAGTCGTATTAATATCTTAAGACAATTTATACTTAACGTCTTAAAATAAGGACTATGAATACCCTAGACTGAAATCACCGCATAGGATAGAACTCCGTTACTTGATATTATTGAGTATACATGGCACAAATAGAAATTAGTATTGGCTAGCAGGAAAAAGAGTTCTGCAACTGTTATAAAATTATTTAATATGACTGATCTTGCCTTTAATACATCTAAATGTATATATGATCGATCTTGCCTTTAGTTCTTCACTGAATCTAAATGTATAAACCAATCATATTAAAGAATCTTACAAGAGTTGCAAAGCTGCTTTTTCTGCTAAACGCAGCCACTATATAACTGGGAACGATCAATGCGCGATCACGTTTTTTTAATTCACGATTTTTAAATCGTAGTATCTTTATTCCTTATAAATTTCGTAGTTTTGTACAAAAGAAATGATATTAGAACGTTCTTACAATCGATTTCAAGTAAATACCTCTACCAAACGGTCCTTTACAGAAGAATCACGGGAGATAGTAGAAAAAGCACCTTTTACCTACCAGGATGACAGCAGGACTGAGGTGTCCATTAGGGAATGCACTACGGTCTAAAAGCTATGAAAGACAAAGAATTTAGGGAAGGGATGGCTTAGAGAGATAAATTATATTCTCTGAGGTTGTTAAACAGCCAATACGAAAGCGACGATTCATATAATGCCATTACAATGCACTTGAAGTGAAATATTTTGTTATCTTTTCTCGAGAATATATATAGCTAAAAATATTAGGGGTATCTAAATTTTTTTATTAATCTAAAGTTCATTTATCTAACCTGTTGTTTCCCATTAATTATCGCGATTATACTTAACTTTAAAGGATTCTTGAAACCAAGGATAAATTCACAGCACAAATGCAGGCATAAATGAATTTTTATTAAAACATTAAATAATGGTTAAGATGCTTAATATTTTTGGCCAAGGCTGTATACTTCATGTGCAGAAAATTCTTCAATATTTCTTTCCTACTTTAATACGTAAGAAAGTCTACGAAAAATACGCAATAAAATTAAGATGTCAACGAAAGTATACAATAAAAATAATATATTTTCAAATCCTTGAATATCTTTAGAATGATTGAGGTGTTCATTAAGAAATGCATTAGGAAATCTAAAGAATTCAGGAAAGAAACACTTGAAAAATCTTGTAGCCGCATTAATTGGAATTTTACTAGATTCAACCCGAAAAGTACAAATCAGATACTATAATTAAATCTATCAAACATTCTAGTCGCGATAATCAGAATTCTAATATTTGTACTTCTTGTTGGTACAATTAAATATTTTCCTTTGTGAATAAAACAACCTTCCTTTAGAAAAATAAATTATAATTGAAATATCAACGAGGGATATAAACAAGGGAATGAAGATTTATACATCTTCAACAAATTTTTGAGCTTTTTCATAAGTTTTTAATAAAAAAACTTATTCGAAGTGCTATGAAGCCAAGTGAAATTAACTAATTCTACACTAATTTTTATGACACTTTCTACACTAAGAAAAAATGTAAATTTTAATAAATACTTGTTTCAATAGTATTATCTTGACATTTACTTACAGTAAATAAATATACAACAAAACAACGATAATCAAAACAAATTAATGGTGTATCAAATAAATATATATTTACATTTAATAAATATTCAAACTAATACTATTCAAACAAATATTTATTAAAATTTAGTACATTTTTCTCTCAATGTAAGAGTGAAAAAGAAATGTGCCCTAAATTTCATTTGGTTCAATTTAATTTCGCGATCTTCCAAAATACAGCAAAGGCTCGAAAATTTTCCTTGGCGGAGCTGTATAATGACTCTCTGAGTCAGCATTAAAGCAAAGGAAGAGCAGGTCCAGGATCCAATTCGATTGGTCATCGATTCCTGGGGGCCTGCCAATAGATGTGGAGGGATTCGTCGAATCAGACTCTGTTTCAAAGTAATCGCTTTCTCTTACTCTCGAGCGGCTTTTTTTACGATCTTATATACAGTGATTCGAAAATACTTTCGAAGCCTCATAGAATAAATTGGACGAGCAAACTCAATGGAAAATACAAAGATAATCGCGTGAATATTGCATGAATTTCTTTTTATATCGTAATTATATTATCGTAATCCTATCCAGATACATTCACCTTCTATAGTCACCTTTTACTGTTGATTAAGCCGATATTTAATTGAAAATGAATGCCCAGTTGAACATTATTACTTTTTACTGGATTTAATAACTTAATAGATAGCTTGCACACTTTATAGATTGATTTGCTCTATTATTAGTAACAATGCAAGCGCGAGTAAGTACGTAAAAAAGTACATAAAATACATGCGAATGTTTCATAGTAAATATAACCTGTAGAGTTTAAATATCACACGTACGATTTAATAAATAGACAAGTCAGGATTTAATGTTCATCAAAATCTATCTGTGCAAAACTTTTACGAGTTTTGATACAATTGTATGGATTGGAGACCGATAAATGACTCGAGAAACATAAGTATCAACTGAACTTGTGATGAGATGTTGCACATATAAATTTATGTAAAAAAATACTGGATTTTTTTATATTACAATTCCATCAATGAGACTCAATAGCAGCGAAGCAACGCGATAAATTCCGATCGGAGAACTTACAACGTGATGGAGCATCGTGCCAGACCTGATTGAGATAGATCACTCGTCAATATAAAAAAAACTCCACATTTCTCACTAATGTGAAAAAAGTTCAGTATTTTTAATAAATTTTTGTGCACCCACTCATTCGATTAATATTTATATCTCTTGAGTGAACTCACCTGTCTTTTTTCTCGTCATTTTAATCGAGTCATCTCGTTTAAACGCGCGATTATTTACCTCGGGCATATTCTCTACATAATTGGAAAGAGTCCGAATGCATTAATTAGAATTCTGATTGAAAATAAACAAACCAGAATTTTCTTGATTGAATCTATTATAATTCTAGTTGAGATAACCAGAATTCTAATTGATACGATGAGACTGCCTTCCCATGGAGAAAGAAACCACAGAATATTGACAGAAAAGAGATAGAATGAAGATAACCCTCATCCTATCTCTTTTTTGTTAATATTCCGTTGTTTCTTTTTCCATGGGAAGACAGCCTCAGAATCAGTGGAAGAAACTCAGGTGTGCTATTGTGCATACACATTTCTAATTAGCCAATGAGATTGTATGCCACCATTTTGCCGCGATGATTTGAATCGACATCACATCATTAATTCTTTTACTTATATATTTTTATGTTTTTACCTAATTATGTGTGCTTACATTGTTAATCGAGTCTGAATTCTACATGGAAACTACATTAGATTTCAATGCTCATCTTTTTGGCAGTGTGTAGTTTAAATATAATAGTTTAAATAAATATAATAATCTATTTTTGAATATGGCTGCATTTGACATCTGCGAATTTTGTTAAAATATTTATAATTTCATTGATCAACATCTAAAGTAAATTTGTTCACTTCTGCAATTTTCATCTCGTTTTAAGATACACAATCGATTCCCTAATTCGTTCATTTTCAATCAGAAGGTCGATTGTGTATTTTGAAATGAAGTAAAAATTACGAGAAAGTGAGAAAAATTATTAGAATATCTATAATTTTATTAGTCAACACCTGGTTTGCTAACTTTTGTAGTTTTCACCTTGTTTTAAGATACACAATCGACCCTCAGAAATTTTTCTCAGTGTGGAGTTGATCGCGCTCCCAAAAAGTCGCGACTCGCGCTGCTCGCTATTTATTCGGAGTGTGACTCGTCGGTTTTCGCTATAAATTCGCGGCTCGATAATAATTTCGGAATCGAACATTGTTGCGTCGTGACATACTTGCCATATACATTAACGGTAGAGTTCCGTCGGTCGGCCGGACAAAACTGGTTTTATCCGCGATTTTAAGCGCGCGTTTCTCAAAGGCGGGGAATATTTATGCGCGCTGCAACTCGCTTGGTGGATGCTGAACGGATATATGTTCCATTCCCCTCTCGTCCTCTGGTCACACTCTCGGTTTCATTCAGTATAAAATGCTGAGATCAGCGAACGACTTCTTCCGTTAACGTTACTCCAGAACGAATTACCGTATTAGAGGGACTATCAGGAACTCTTTGGGGAAGAACCAGGGTACCTATTATAGAATAAGTCGGAATGAATTCCGATCGGAATTATTTTATTTTTCCTAGAAAATACAATAGAAATCTAGGGAATAATCGAATAATTTTGATCGGAATCCATTTCAAATAATTCTATAATACGTACCCAGAACTCTATTAATTATATCGAAATTTTGATAATGGGGTGCCAACTTCATACAGGTCTTGTTAGTCGTGACATGGAAATAAACACCTTTCGCGTAAACACATTGATTTTCTAGTTTAAATTTAATTAAATATTCTCTCCATGATCGATCATTAAGCAAAGAATTACATTATAAAGTAAAAAAAATAATTATAGATGCATGATGTAGTATCGCGGCGTGAGTATTTGTGAATTTTTGCTTTTAGAATTGTGATAAAATAGCACTTAAAACTATAGTCTGATCCATACTCGCAACACTCAAGAGCATCATTTGTCCTTGTTTAACATTTGATAAACAATAGGTCTGTTCGCAAGTGTTGCTTACACTTTTTTGCATTCAGAGTCTTCACTTTTTTATTTTCAACGCCCGAATATATATTTATCCGTTTTGCAAAAATTTTTGAGGATTTCAAGTAACATGAAAAAACCTAATGACTGCGTTCAGTTGAAAAAGCAACTATTGTAAGATTCTTTAACATGATTGATTTATATATTTAGATTAATGAAGAACTGCGGACAAGAACCAATCATTAAAGAATCTTACAACAGTTTCAAAGCTGTTTTTCTTACTAAACACGACCAATAACAGTGGCTGCATTCAGCAGAAACAACAGCACTGTTATAAGATTTTTTAAATATACGATTGATTTATATATCTAGTGGAAAAACTAAAGACAAAAAAGACTCAATCATATTAAAGAATTTTACAACAGTTGCGCAAAGCTGCTTTTTCTGTTAAACGCACTTAATGATTCAAAGAGCGTTGTGAGCATAAATCGTTCCGCAATCTACGTAAACAATGCGTTCTGTCAAAGTTAATTGAAACTGTAAGCATTGTAAGCTCAACAATCGTCAGAAAATGATTAATCGTAAATTGGGCAATTGGTTCGCACGTACGTAAATGCAAGAGAATTGAAATATTTTCTATATTGAACGAAAAAAGAAGTGCTATAATAGAAACGTCTTAGACATGAAATTAAATACGGAAAATCGCAAGGCATTCGAATGAATCATAAACCATGTAATAAATATGTATTAAGAAGATACATTATTAGCAAAATACCACTTCTCGTAATTGAACACGATATTTTCCTCTTTTCAGTTATAAAACACAAACGCATGATATTGCGATACGGGTTCTTGATATTCGTGCACGCACGATATTCTCATTAATAACGACGCTATATATAATAATAACCACGCACGTTAATTAATTAGTCTAATAATTTCCTTTTCTCATCGAAGATACATACCTCTTTTCATTCTCGTACATTTTCTAAAAGAGGACGTATGTACGAAAATGAAAATTCTTTCACTACGCAAACCGTATTTACGCCTATTTTTTCCGAAGAAGATTCTGAATTGGTGTACACTGGTGCAATAAGCAAATTAATTTGTTTCACTCCAACTTATTGCACCAGTGTACAATACATTTCCAGAACTTTCTTCAAAAAAAAACACATGTTTTACCATTTTGGTACCATTTTGGTATCATTTGATACCATTTTGGTATTATTTAAATTTTTTCCTTTTTGTTTTAGATATGCAGTACAGAATATTGAAAAAATATAAATATAATATAAAATATGTAAAATAATTCTAATAATACTAAAATAATTCTTCACTAATCAAAAACAAGAATAGGAAACTATCACCTTCGGCTCTAATGTTATCTTCTTTTCTCATTCTTCTTCATTTTCTTTCATCTGTATTCTCGAACATTAAATTTTTATTATACTTATAACTGTTTCTTCAATGTGTTTCCTACAATATATGCACATACACATATATGCTTGACGATGATCGCATTCGTACGGGAAAAGGAAAAAGAAAAGCAGAATCAAAGATGAATTATCGTTTGATCGCGATGCTAGGATTGATCGGACTCCGATTTGCGCCGATCGCGCGTCTTTGCTCGAGCTTGGCAGATGACAGCGGGATACAATATGGCGGTTTGTACCGCTCAGTGGGATACATCGTTAACCCATCCGCGGCACGAGGGCTCGCGGTCCTCTCGTGCGGTCCCTGGCAGCACGAACGTGCAGAGAGAAAGAGATTGAGATTGAGAGAGAGAGAGAGAGAGAGAGAGAGAGAGAGAGAGAGAGAGAAAGAAAGAGACGGGGCAGAAAAGGTTGGTGGGACCAGAGCCAAGCTGTCTGCCGCCGCCGCCTCTCTTGCGTTGGACCGCTGATGGCTTGCTCAAGGAACGGAACCGCGCGGTGTGGCGCGGCGACCAAGCAACTCTCGTTGCGCATTAGGTAATCCGTAGATCCTTTCCTCGAGAAACGCCTCTCTCGTAGCGACCAACTTGTTTTTCAAGGACAATGAATTTACCGATGTACGCATTCGCGCGGAAAAGGCTCGTCACGCTTGCATTCCTCGCGGTGCATTATGGCGTGGGCGCGGGCGGCAAAAGGTGGCTGCGCGAATAAACACGTACACAAGCAGTGCGGTGTGCGGCCTCTCGTCGACCATCGTCGACCACCGAGGCGGTAAGATGGATAGACGAACCGACAGAACGATCCGAGATTTGTTCGGGCGGGCCCACCGGGCCAGGTATGCGACGGGGGAAAACGTCCGTTCTCCGGATGTTCACGGACGTTTTCGGGCGAGACCACCCGCGCTCTCGCTCGGCTCGGCACGGCCCCCTCCGAAACGGCCCCGCGCCGCGGTTCGGCGGTTCGTTAATGGGCAAGCGGGGCGATTTCGTAGGAATTCACTCGCGCGCCGCTCCGCCCCGCACCGCCGCGCCGGCCGCTCCGGTTCGTTCGTTGCCAAGCCCCTCAATTGACGGAACTCGTGAGTGCTCGTGAGTCGTGACTCGCCGCGAGAAACGACGACGGCGAAGGCGGTAAACAACCACCGCACCGCGCGTCGTTCTCCGCACGCGCCGCCTCTACATAGTCTACATATATCGTATATACCATGGAAACAACATCCTGACGCCGTGACGCGAGCGGCGGATTTGCATTCGCATTCGCGCGCGCGGCCGCTGCCAGCGGCGCTGGAATGCGGCGCGCTGGAATATACAAGGATAAGGTCGGCGCGCGGTGCTCCGAAGCGCGTGCGAGTCACGTACAGCGTAGAGGAGAACCGCGTCATCGTCTAAAATAATCGGGCCAGGCTCAGCCTGGCTGACGGCGGGGTAGCGGCAGCGGCGACAATGAGCGGCGGCAACCGTTGAGGAGCTTGAGGAAGAAGTGGGTCGGAGAGTAGAGCGGTGGGACGCGATGGGAAAGAAAGGAAATAGAAGAAGGAATCTCGCGGTCGCGCGAGTGCGCCGCGAGCGTCGCGGAGCAGAGAGAGAGATAGACAGAGAGAGAGAGAGAGAGAGAAAGATGGAATAAAGAAAGAAAGACACGGAGAGAAAAAACAAGGAGAAACGGTCGAAAGATAAAGATAGAAGGAGAAACGACGTTGCGCACCTAGGTATACCTAAAGAAAGATTGAGAAAGAGAGAAGAAAAACAAGAGTCGCAAGTCGTTGCTCACCTAACTAATCGCGAGTCCGTAGTTTGAGCAGCCACGGCATCTCAAGTTTCTCAAGTCGGGGCCCGACGACTGCACCACGCGTAATCTCACCTCACGTTGCTCGGCACCACTCGCGCGCGCGGTCCACAACGCAAAAACCAGGAGGGCACTCTCCGGAGTCTGCGGTGTTCCGCCGATGGTCAGCCCGCGCGCGGCGGAAGAGGGACGGCGGGAGGAGGGGAAAGGGAGAGGAATCCAAGAAGGGAAAAACGGCGTAAAGGCGACGAACGACGATAATCGTAAACGCGGTTCCGACGGATTCCCGTGCACCCGCACTCACACACAAACAAACACCTGCACGCGCGCGCTCGCGCGCTCTTCACTCAAAATTCGCGCTCGCGCGACAATTTTTATTCCTCGTCTGATACGCTCTGTTTTTTTTCCACGGCACCATATACGGACGGCGAGGGCATCCGGCCCCGATAACGGGCAGAGCGGCGGTGCCACCAGGTGCCACCGAATATCCTTTCGTCGATCAGGCGATCATAACGCGCCGTGCGTTAACCGAGAGTGTGTGCTCTCTCTCTCGTCGTCGTCGTCGTCGTCGACGGCAGCGACAGCAGCCCGCGGCAGTGGTTGCGACGGCGGTGGCGGAGGCGGTGACGAAAGGGGGAGAAGGCAGAGTGGGGGGACGGGGCCCACCTTCGTACACCTGCGCGACCTATCAACAGGTCCCCGCGCGCGCACGCACGCACGTACGTACGCCGCGTACGTACGTACGCGCGCACGCACGCACTCACGCACCTACGTTACGCGCAGGGCACGCGGAATCCGGCCTCGCCGAGTTCCACGCCGATGCGCACACGTTATACGCGCGCGGATCCTTTCCTCCCTCGCTCTCCCTTGCGCTCGGCTTCCTCCGTTTCTACCTGCTGCTCCGACTCCGACACGTATCGCCAGGATGCACTTTGATCACTTTCCGACGGAGCGGGCACTCCTCTCGTCTCTTTGCTTTTCTCTCTCTCTCTCTCTTTCTCTCTCGCTTCTTCTCGATGATGTCGCGCGGTGTATCGCGAAACACTCGTGTCGAGTTGTTCACTTGTTCCCAAGAAACGTGGATATCCGCGCAGCCGCGAGCGAGCGAACTATCGCGAAGTTTAGGCAAGGCCGCGTTCGATTCGAACGTGTGCCTCGGACCACCTCGGACCCCGTTCCAGGTTCCAGCTCGCTCCGTTCTACTGGCCCTTCCTTTTCTACGGGGCCCCCTCTCCACCTCCCTCCCCTTATCCCACCGACCGCTCGACTTCAGGACCGCCGCGTCGACGCCCGCAGTCCCGGTGCATTCCACGCTCGGCCGCATCCACCGCGCGTTCCGCCCTCCCTTTTGCTCCGCGTTGGTCCAATGGTTCATGGACCGATGTCTCAGTAAATATCAATTAACAGTAACATAACGTCAACGTTATAATTTCATCCTCTAAAATTTTCGAATGAATCTCACTCTAAAGAGTGAAATCTTATTCTAAAGGTTTAGACCGATTTTTCACCAATGAAAGATCGACTTTAATCTCAATTTAATTAGAAAAAGGTAAAGAGTAATTTAACTGAGATCAAAGTTAATTTTATATTGATTTATTATTTTTTAAGATTGACTCAATTTTCATTCTTTAGAGTAAGATATCACTCTAAAGAATTTAAAGAGCATTCAACAATATAAACGTAGTATAACAGGTGCGTTACGTAACAGTTACATTGTTGACGGTGAAATTATAACGTCGATTTTGTGTTACTTTTAGTTGGTATTTAACTGGGGTATGATTGGCTACGTTTACACCGTGCTCTTAGTCCGCGACCTATGCGATAGGTGTCTTTGTTTAACCTACAAGATAAACAAGGACATCTATCGTATAGGTCGCGGCCTAAATGCACGGTGTAAACGTAGCATGTACATACAATGGACCACAAAGTATGACCTGAACGTACGGTCTTTCTCGGCAATTTCGATGTAAACACGATATGTGTACTTGTTGAAAAATTATCTTTATCTACGTTCCGACTACGGAGTATTAATAAAGAGTAACATCTCCATAGACTGAGAGACTGAAAAGTGGTCCTCACTCCCCGTTTCGATTATCAATATGGCGCCAGAGGCGATCCACACTTTCCGGTTTGTGACGTCGCGTCTGCGCATTGCTCGTCTTGCAGCAGACGACTATTTTTTGATCAAGGGGGTCGATTCATCAATATGTCGCACATAACCTCACAAAATGTAATAAATATTTTCTTACGTACTTTGGATGCTTTAAAAAAATTTTTATTTTTGACGCCCAATTGTTTTGATACGGTAGATACTAGAAAAGGCACCTTTCACCTACCAGGATGACAACAGGATTGAGTCCAATGTTTGAGGTGTCCAATTGTTTTGACGATTTTGTAATATTTTTGAACACAAAACACGTATGTATCTTGATTGAAACCTTAGCTGCGTTCGGCAGAACGTTTATTTGGAATTGTTGGAAATTTTCTTCGCGCTAATTAGATTATATTTTTATATCTAAAAAAATGGTCCTATTTCGGTAGCAATTATAAAACTGTTGTGTTCTGCCCTTATTGTCTGTTGTAAGACGAGCAGTGCTGTGCAGTGCACAGATGCGACGTCACAAACCGGAAAGTGTTGGTCACTTCTGACGCCATATTGAAAATCGAAACGCGGACCGTTTTCAGAAGCAGAGATTTTACTCCTTTCTAATACTTTGTGGTTCCGACTCTTTAAATTCTTTCGAGTGGAATTCTCAGTCTAAAGAATGAAGACTGAGCCAGTCTTAAGAAAGAGTGGTTTAATTTTCATTTTTAAGGTCTAATTCCACCACAATGTAAGATTAACTTTAATCTCGGTTAATTTAACTTACCTTTACTACTATTTACCATTTTATAATTTATAAAATTAGAAAAAAATCAAGAATTATAAACCGAGATTAAAGTTAATCTTACATTGATAGAATCGGACCTAAAAGTTAGATTTTATTTTTTAAAGTGAGATTCACTCTAAAAAGTGTTTTAGAGGATATATATATATACATCTCTCGCTGCAAAGTATACCATATAATATTGAATAATACAATAAATTGAAATTAGCAGTCTATTTACATTGCTTTCTTGATTAAAATCACACTGGAGTAACGGAAATCATCTGAATCGAGCGACGGGGTGACGAAAAATTCTACTTAATCTGATTTTCATATGAGAATTTATTTATTTATATATTATTTGTTAAATGTCCTTTTTGGCTTACATATGCTAAAGTGAATAAATTCTATCCCATTCTATTTATTAAATATACAAATCCATTCATTATTGTATAAATGCTTCCGTGCGATGTAAAACACGGAGATAATGAAAAACTCGTACCTCCCACGGGAACGTATCCCCCTCGCAAGGTTTATCGCAGCGACGTTCCTGCGCAAACTTCCTCGTCCTTGTTCCTCTCGCTGAAGACGTCATCGTCCCTCGCTCACACTACCTCGGACTTGCTCCACCAGCCAGTCTGCCGCTACTGTGTCCTCCTTCCCCTCATCACCCTTTGCACTCGCCCTCCCCCCCATATCGTTCCGCTTTTCACTCGCTTGCCTGCGAGCGGTGGTCCCCAATCCTATTCCGTCGTTCATTCTCGACGTCTTTACCTTTTCGGAGAACCGAAATCAATCCGGGGCTTCTCGGAGAATTCTTAGGTAATCAGTTTTAGCGATTATACTCGCACGGAAGTCACGTGATCACGATCTTACAATTGTAATAAATTGTTTTATCGTGATAGTAAAAGTCGAATGTATTACCGAATAGCAAAAACGTCTGTAAAGTCATATTCTATAATATATATAATGATGTTACTTAGTTGTTATTAATTTCGAGGATATGTATAGATATGGAAATTGAGAGGAGGTCAATGAAAGTGTTGCCATAAATTCAAATCTTAGCGAGTAAAAATTCCGCGTGATATGAAGAATCTTACGCTTTTTATATACAAAGCAATTTTACGTTTTTACATACATCAGAGTATTTATTAAAAACACTACGTATATATTATAAATTTTTATAAATTTTATATATTATTAATATTATTAACTTTGGGAAAACTCTTGAAACTATCTGCGTACAACGTACGTTTGAATTACTTCGAGATTATCAATTGTTCTGCAAACTATAAGAATTTATATACGAAACAATTTTAAAAGATAAAAGTAAATTACATAAATATCATGTATATTATGTATATCGTGTATATTATACCCATTAAATATATATAATATACATATGAGTACAAAATTCATAAATTAAAGATATTTGCTAGCTTTTTATACTACTGTTGTTCAATCAAAATCGTTAAAGAAAGTCATCGTATCTATATTTTTAACATGCGATCAAATTTACAGAAGAGAATGATCTTATCGTCTACCAATCTATCAGAATACAATGAGCATACTTTTTACCGATTAAGCGTCACGTGATGGAGAAACGCGGTTTATTCAAATATATTATTCATTACAATGAATTTCACTTATTACGCTTACCACTATTTTTGTATCATGCAAAAATGTGCGATCTATTCCAATGTCTATTCCCATCATAATGAATTTTGTTATTTATTGTGCTTATTATTTTTTTTTATCGCGTGCAAGAATATTTAATTATCACCTTCGTCTTTATATGTAATACTTTTTGATAGAGCTCAATAAGAATTTTTATTTACAAAGTTATTATATTACATGTACAAGGAGAAATATATATACGTAAATTGCTTTATAGAGAATTAACATTATATATACAATATTTATAATATTTTCATGGGGTTGTCAAAAAACGATCCTAATATTATACAGTCACTTCTGGAAAAAGATTTACTAGGAGATGATCTAGTAAAAGATATGCTAGATGTTTATTGAATGGCGCGTTTTGTAAAGGATCTAAGAGAGAATTCATTAGATTGTTCCAAGGCTTGGGGAATATCATTAACCACCATAAGGAATGCAGTCCCTCTTTCGCCGTTTCGTAGTAATTTCGACATTTTCCTTGCGAGGGAAAGTCTCTCATATAATTCTTGCCTACTATTTTCGCATGTAGAAGTTTAACAACGATGGAAGCGCGGCCACCACTTAGAAGCTTAATCAGAGTGTTGTAGAATATTGCGTTCACATAAGGGTCTATTCTTTTACGCAATAAAAAGGCTAACATCCAGAAGAGTCGTGAAATAATCGAAGGTAAATTTAGTAGACCATCAACTGTAACATAACATTATTTTTAACAATCGTCATAGATAATCATGAACGCATATGATATAAAAGAGATAGCTTTGAACTTACGAGCTTCTATAATGCATAAACTTGCACCTTTCATGTGATCACGCTGTGGTAGACTGCACGGCAAATTTTGGAAAGTAACTGATAGATTCAGATTATTGCCAAATACATCATCTATCAGCTTTCTTCCTTTGCTCTCCGTTTCACCAAGATGCTCGCTCGATGGCTCAACACCCATATCCATGTGTTCGTACTTCGTGTTTGTAGACGCTAAGAAGGTACTCATGAATTTATCGAGGTGCTGTCCCTTCTCCTTCCGCAATTTATAAGCCATATTCTGGTAAAGAATACCAATGTCGGGCGTACTGTAGTTCGCGAAATACGGTTTCAAGTTTGGCGTCGTAAGAAAGGTATAAAGGAGCTCGCTGCTTCTTAACATCGGTTTGGACAACAACTTCTGCAGAAACTCCTCGTAACGTTGACGATTAGCTGTGAGGGGCAAGTGCGGGTTTTTGCGCGATGGTAATGGTGAGTCATTCAACTCCTTGTCACCGTGGAATTCGATAAGTCGTGTCCGCAAAGTGTAGAAATCTTGATCTTGTCGCAAGACTGTCCACGATTTAGCCTCTGCCACGCTATGAATGGCAATCATGTATACTGGTTGCATGCCACCGCCGTCTACATGAGGAACGTCAACTCGCCACGTTGTTAAGTCGCGATGACTCTTATCGCCGAAGCCTTTGATTTCATTATACGCTCGAGCTGTACAATCTATTTCTTCAACTGGATAGACGTCCTGTAGTTGAAACGGAGTACCATCGATTGCAGTCGTACGTAAAATGCCATCGACCTTACCTACTTGATTATGGAATCGCATAGGAGAAGTAGATGTACCTCCTCTTGCACTATAATCAAATATACGTTTTCATACAATTATTATAATTATGAAAATTTTATTGAAAACTAGCATATGTAAATTATATCTAAATTTATAAAATATAGTGTATATTTTATTTATTATATTCATTGAAAAATATTATTAAGAAATTGCCATTTGTTCTATTTCATACTTAATTTCAGACATATAAACTATAATACTATACTATACTATAATGGACTATAATATAAACTATAATATAAAGTATAGTTATGCAACTTATACATGCAATAAAAAATAAGTGATCATAAAAATAGCCAAATTAAAATGTTGAAAAATGATATTTTTAAAGAATTTAAAAACACATGGATGTGTGTACATTTTAGGAGCTTACTTAGCTGCTGTAGTAGGTTTCGTTTGTTCAGACAAGTGACCGCACAAGAGTTTATATAACTGAAACATACAGCACACAAGTAGTTATTATTAGAATATAAAATTTCATTATTAAAAATTTAATATATTGAGGATTAATATTTAATGTATTCAAAATTTTAAATATTAAATATGTAATATAGGAAGAAAATTAAGTCATTTACTTGATAACTATGATGGAATGATGGCAAACAAGTAGTTTCTAGGAGTGCGTGTGCTTCTTGATGAGCTTGATAGAAGGGCCGTGATGTTCTTAGTTCTTGAATTTTTTCTGGCCCACCTTCTAATACTGGAAATAAACATGTATATGTGTATATATATATATATATATATGTATTTGAAACTGAAATTATTTATTTATAAATTTTTAAATTACTTACTTTGTCGTATGCCTTTTGATATATGCAATGGTAAATATAAATATTCTGAACCATCGGGATCAAGATACATCTTGTACATATTCCGAACATCTATGTATAAATTTTTTTCAGCAATAGTCGACATTTCTGGATTTAACATACGTTTGCTGAGATCATTTAAAAGTAAATAAAATAAATTATAATTATTAAAAAATAAATTATATATTATTAAAAAATTTATATTAAAATATATCAAAAATTTAATATATATACCAATATCTAAACAAAATTGAAGAAGATTCATGGGTCCTGATTCTTTGATGTGTTGCATAAACATATATAACAGTTCAGGATCATTCAGAATTTCATTTAAAGATGGTTTGAAGCAACTGTGTGTAATATGTGAATGCATTGCTGGAAGTGTCACCCAAGATTGAAGTATTGGTACAGTAATAGTCTCTGCAGCGTTAGATAGAGTAGTCTCACGGTGAGTTGATAATGTCACCAGCATATTTATATTTTCTGGATCCGCCAGTGCATCAATTGCTGGCAGTAGTACCCAATTTGCCAAAATTTCTCGAAGTATTACCTAGAAATACATACAAACTAAAAGAAGCATATGAAGTGTTACATAATTGCTTGTGTCTACATAATTAATCTCTCAAATTCATAAATATATTATATATGCTACATAATAAAAGCTAGAGTGAATTTTGAAAGAACATTACTTTATTATTTGTTGAGACATGTATGGCAGGTAATAAATGTGGTAACAGTGCGGTGACTAGACCCCGTAAATAATTCAACTCAGCTTCTCTTGCATAAGCAGCTGGATGAATTTTAGAGCTCAAACAACTCCCAATGTAATCTTGGGGCATTTCAATTTCAGATATGGGCATTTTGAGCAATGCTTTCCAATCTTGAGCGTGTTGTATGGCCAAAGGAATCAGGCCATCAAAGGCGAGGGTTGCTGTGTCTGCACGTAATAATCGAATAGTAATATTCTTTGCTGCTGTTGTTATAGCTAAACGTAGTTGTTGTATGAAAGCTTCATTAGCTGTAATATCCGAGTACCAAGTACAGACATACATTTGGAGTACCTCTTCCAGAAGCTACAAGACAATAGATTTATATACTTTTTGCCAACAAATATAGAATAGTGACAGTGAATTATGCATAAATGTATAATTATTAATTACTTGCTCCAATGCATGATCAAAGTCTTTTGGTACTTTGACCTTGGTCGAATGCGGCAACAATTTATGCCTTTTGCAAGTATTCTTGCTGCAGACGCTGCATGAATCCTTAATTTCGTATCTTGCAATAAACTTGTCACTTATAATATTGAATCTCATCAGCAAACCGTGAATGCGTTGTTCATTCATAATATTGTACCTCGTCAGTAAACTGTCAACACGTTGTACTAACTGAACAGCGTAAAAACTGACAAGTACGTAAATGCTAATCACGATGAACACCCACAGAATGCTGCGAAAAAATTAATAGAATAATTTCACATATGTGTGATTCATATATATTATTGACAAACATGTTATTTACCTATTAAACACAATCACAATAAATGCGACAAGTAAAATAACAATCGCCGATATTGCAGCACTAAAAAAATACAGATCTTGCATTTCGTCGCTGTTGAATAGTGATGTTACAGGAAGTAATTTTGTGTTTAGTAAAACATTTTTGTGTCGTTATCACAAAGTCATTTTTTTTTTAATCAAAGAAGATGCTTTCTCTATTTTCTCGGCGCACAAGTTTTTTTTATCAGATTTGACAGTTTCAAGTTTCATGAGTGGCGACTCTACACCAGTCTACACCTCTGCACTCCACACTCTCTACAGCTCACAGCTGTTTACAGCGCCCTGACAAGTATTATGAAATTCAAATACAACAAATAATTAGTGGTAATTTGCGGCGGAAGAAAACAAAGAATAACACGGAGGAGGAGTCGATTTTATTTTATATTTCCGTGTGATTATTCAAGAGCGGATTGAGAAACTTTTTGTCATCAGACAATGAGATAACCTATATAGATATATTGCGAATAGATGCATTATCTTGGTATGTCGGATACATTGTAGACTCTCTTGGATTTTGTATGTGATATTTTAATGAAAAAAAAAACAAGATTCCAACGATGTCGAGACCTCCGGACCCAAAATTTTTATTGCGTGGCGACATGGACGAAAATGTGCACAGTTTGTTATTTTCGATTAACTCTGATGTCGAGCGTCTCTATGCTGGTGATGGAAAAGGCACAGTTCACATTTGGGATTTAAAGGTAAACATTGTTCTTTTTAACAGTTTAAATAATTCGATTTAATCCTCCGGAGCTGTCAATTCAATTTTGTTTATGTTACATCTACAAATTTAGATTGTTCTTATTAAAATAAACTTAGTATTCATCCTTTTTTATAGAAATTATTTTGGTTCTTTGAAATTAATTAATGTCTTTTAATCAACATATATTAAAAGGATCTGATACACCTAGTATCAATATAACTGTGTTACAGATTTTGGCATCAGCTCAGAGGATTATTTAATAATAATTTATACAACATGCGAGAGGAATATTGTATTCTTAACATAAGCATGCAGAAAAGAACGTTGAAATTTGTTAAAAAGAATTAAATTCTTTTTATTATATTGTAGACAAACAGGATAAAATATCAATTATCAGATGGATGTAGCCCGTGTTTTAATTTACATATAACTAACGAGACTGACTTGATAGTGCAACGAAGACATGGAATGATTGATGTGTACAAAATGAATGAATCAAACTGGATACTAGATAAAAGCACCAATTATGAATATTGCAGTTTTTGCAGGTACGTTAACAAATAAATCAGTTATAAGTGTATTAATAAATAAGTCTGTTAAAATTAACATGAATATTTTGTATCACAGATCTCAATTATTACCCGAGAACGATGCAGTGCTGATTCCACTTGACTGTTCTGTAGTAGGGACATTATCATTAAAAACATTCAAAGTAGAATCGACATTAGATCCATCCAAACTGTCCTACGGTAATAAATTAGGTACAGTAATGGCGATGAAATCATTGGTGGATGTGAATAGTTTTGTTCTAGTTGCTTATGAGGGTGGGCAACTATTATTGTGGGATATGAGAAAGAATGATGTTCTTAGTTCTCTTGCTGTGGAACAATATCCAATGACTTTTGATTTTGACGCTTCTTTGATGCAAGGCATCCTTGGCAGTGCATCAGAAAAATTGGAGGTACACTACAAAAATTGATTTTTATAACTCTGTCTGGAACAAGATATGATTCTGGTGTTGGTAAATTATGTTTATAAATTTTTAGATTTTCAAGATGTTGCCGAATCATACTTTATCCCACAAATATACGAGATCCTTGGAACATGTTACTGGCATATCTATTCTTTCGGTAAGGCCAGATAAAAAGATCGTCACGGCCGGATGTTGGGACGGACGTATGATGTTGTTCTCTTGGAAGAAATTACGGCCACTTGCGATATTAAAAGAACACAGAGCAAGTGTATATGACATTGTTTATTCACAATGTAAAGTCGAGGCTTACGATACTAAATGTTTAATGGCAGCGACTGGCAAAGATGGTTACATATCTATGTGGGATATATATAATAATTAGGAAAATCACAAAATGTAAATGCATTTTGTATGCATGAACAAAGCGAGGAATATAAAAATATTTATATTGTATATATATGTATAGTTTGTAAATTATCTAATAAAAGTTTTCCATAATGATATTCGTGTGTGTTAAAAGAGGAGACTGTTGCATTTATAATCATTACATAAACTTTTAGAGTATTAAAATATTGTTTATTATATATCTGTACATATTTTTTTGTTATCTTATTGCCATCGAACTATATGATACGTCTTTTTACCAACTCTCAGCAATGATAGATTATTGCTTAATATATGAATGCCAGGTACAATTACCTCATTTAAATGAGTAATTCTTTGATAATTTATATAAAATCCGCCTGCTGTTATGATTCGTTCAGCATCATGATCAGTTTTAAAGCATTTTGCCTTTTTTGCTAGCTCGTATATCGTAATTCCTGACTCAGATATGACATCCACTATAGTTGCGCCTTCAAACACATCTGTTAGTTCCGATGCATTTAATCTTACCAATGATTCAATTGATTTATCATACAATGCTGCAGATGCACGCTTTGCAGCCAATAGTCCATCCTCTGCAAAAAATAACAGTATGCAATAAATAATAACAATGACATAATTTTTTATAAAAATTACCTCCATGTACTAAAAGTGTAACTTTCTCCGCTAATAATTTCTGTGCTTTTCTCTGTTCTGGATCGTTCATATGATTCTTCATAATTTCAGTAATTTTATTCAATGGTATAAATGTGAATAGTTTTAAGAATTTTTCAACGTCGGAATCTTTAGCTCTGATGAAATATTGATACAGTTGGAAGCTTGAGGATTTCGTTGAAGATAACCACACTGCATTTAAAAGAGACTTCCCAAATTTCTTTCCACCTTCAGCTGTTATGAGTGGCAACGTTATACCATAAACTTGTTTTCGTGTACTTTTTGTAATCAAGTCGTATCCAGACATAATATTACCCATCTGATCACTGCCACCAATTTGGAAGCGACACTTGTAATTTTTCATCAATTGAAGCCAATCATATGCTTGGAATACTTGATATGAGAATTCAGTGAAACTCATCCCTGTCTCAGAATTTAATCGTTCCTGGACAGAAGACCTACCTAGCATTGTGCCCATCCGAAAATACTTTCCAATATTTTTGATAAATTCAATGACATTTACATTTGTATACCAATCCAAATTGTTTACTACAATTAGAGGCTTCAGTGCCGTTTCCTTGTTTTTCCAAAAGTAATCTCTATGATTATTAAATATGGTCTCTATGTTCTTCGTGATAGATTTGATGTTCTCTTCAATTACATATCTTTCTATTTCAATGCGTTCAGATTTTCTATGACTAGGATCACCTATTAAACCGGTAGCTCCACCAACTAGAGCTATAACTTGATGTCCTGCTCTTTGCCATTGTAAAAGATTCATCAGGATAAGTAGATTGCCGACATGTAAACTGTCTGCTGTTGGATCGAAGCCAGCATAGACACATTGGGATGATTTGTTCAGTAAATCTACTATTTCGTTTCTATTAAAAAATATATATAAGATATGTAAATTGATATAAGTATTAAGAGATGTGTAATGCATTATAAAAATTTTTATAATATTCAGTAACACAAAAAATAATTCAGTATACTTACGTACTAGTATCGGGAAATATATCCTCGTACATGCCCCTTTCGTGAAGCTTCAATACATTTCTGCTGCAGTAAAATCTGCATTTATCAAAATTAACGTTTCTGACGGTGGAGCATAACCTTAATAAAGAACGCACGCTCATTTTGCTATATATTTGTAACTACAAATGATGAATAATTATCTTCGAACTTCAGAGAAATCAGATTTCGTTGTGAATTCTCTACATAAAAATACGCGAACATAAATTCATACGATCAATAATATACGCAATTCAAATTTGAGGATTACACCGTTGATTCCAACCTCAAATGCGGCATCTGCTTCACCAACACTATAGCACAATAAATATATATAGTTATAAATATAGATTTCAGTGCTGAATAAGTTGAATAACAATATTAACTACTTATATTCTAAATATTAATTAGATTTTGTGTTGATTTCAATATTTTATTTAAATATCAGTATTAAAATAAAAGCTTAAGATAATTATTATATACAGGGTGTTCCATAACTCACCTGACAACGCTCGTGGGCAGGTAGAGCGGACTAAACTGAGTCGAAAAGTCCTCTACTATTTTGTAATTTTCGCAATAATTAACAAGATATTAATTACAAAAAATCGCTGAATATTGGTCTTCAATAATTTTTTTCTCAAATACTATCAATTTTACAAAAAAACTGCAAGAAACAAAAATTGTTTATTTTCTTCTCATAGAACTCTAAAAATTTTTTCAGAATTTTTTATCAACTTTTTAGTACTGCATTTTCTTATTTTTACTATCATGAAAATCTGGTATTAAAAAATTCTGAAAAAATTCTGAAAAAATTCTCAGAACTTTATGAGAAGAAAATAAACAATTTTTGTTTCTTGCAGTTTTTTTGTAAAATTGATAATATTTGAGAAAAAAATTATTGAAGACCAATATTCGGCAATTTTTAGTAATTAATATCTTGTTAACTATTGCGAAAATTACAAAATAGTAGAGGACTTTTCGACTCAGTTTAGTCCGCTCTACCTGCCCACGAGCGTTGTCAGGTGAGTTATGAGACACCCTGTATATTAGAAAAAATCTTATAGGAGATTGGACATATACATATTAAATTAATAAGTACTCCTTATTAAAAGAGGGAAAACATTGTAAATTAAATTAGATTGTTGATTTACTTTAAGAGATAAATATAAATCACGATGTTTATTGCATTTCAGTGTATTTACAAAAGAATACATATAGGCATGTTAAATATTAGGCCAAACAATTCTGTGTATAAATTGTTATTATAATGTAACAAATGTATAAACTTGCTTATATATTAGTATCCTACTCTAGATGGCGGTGTAGCAAAATATTTCTTGTTTCTCCTCATTAAAGTGCGGCTGTAAATACAAGTGAAATATGAAATAAGGAAAATATATAGGTAAGATGCAATTATTATTTATGCGCTACTCACCTAGAAGTGACAGGAGTATTGAAGAAACCGCGTGAGATACTACGCTTGAAAAGTGATTCTGTGGATGGTGTATGTTTTAATTCTCCCGATCTTGGGGTAGAAATGCAATTCGAGTTTGTAGGGTTCACATAAGTTGCCCAATAATCGGATGGAATTTGAAGTAAACTCTCTACTATCTAGAACGTAAAATATATTACAATATATTTCCCGTATCAGTCATAATGGCGCATTTAGAAATTTTTCTTACCGCAACTTGATGTTGAATATCGTTGATAGATGGTTCCTTGGAAATGTAACCGACTAAAGTTGGTCCAAAGACCTTGGCGAGATTACTAATGGGCATCTTACATTCGGTGCTACTCGATACTCTCTGTAAATGTAATATCAAAAAGGCTAAAGTATCTCGATTCGGTTGTGGCAGTTCTGATATTGCTTGATAAAGAGCGGCGTCAGCATCCTGTTTATCTGTCTTTTGTGTCGCACGAATAAAATCTCCCAACAAACCGACAGTGATCAGCGGTTCACGTAAGTTTCTATAAAATATGAATTCAAATAAATATATATATTGCATCCCCTTTATGTACAGAATATATTTCGGGTAACGTACCTGAGAAAATCTTTTAAGGTAGAACAGATGGTCGTAATATCGACGTTAGAAAGATTCGGGGCGCCTTTGCCTTTCAAAAACTTCTCCAGGAGACATTTGACATCTACCTTTGCTCCGTTCACTCTGTATAATCCCTGCTCGTTCATTCCGCGCAATTCAACTTCATTAATGCAGTGAACTACTATGGAAGGTACCATAGGTAGTGTTATAGGTGTGTAATCAGCTATAGTGCCCTGTACATGAAAATGACATTTAGTCAAGATATATTGACGCTGGAATATTTTGACATAGAAACTATAATAACGATACTTACGGGTATACCACGTAATGTAGGTGTATTTCCTGTTGGGATACATGGTAATGGTACTAAACCTTTACACTCGGCATGAGCTGCAGCTCTACAATCTTTGCATTTCAGTAGCGTATGTGGAAATCGAATTCTATTAATAAATGAAAAGACATTAAAATTTTTTTCCTTATCCATAGCAAATCTTATGAAATTAATTACAAGCTTTTTAATATGTTCATGTAGTAGTTGAATAAAATTACTTTTTCCCACAATGTGTGCAGTTTTCTGGCTTAAGCACAGTTTTTGTTACAAAATGATGACTTCTAGACATTTTTAAATTCATGGTATAGCCACCAATATTTGGACTTGGTTTGTAAACATCCTCTGAGTCTGAAGTTGTAAGAATATCAGCCTTTGGTGCTGATGGCTAAAAATAAAAAAAAATTGTTCCCTTATTTTTTAACTATGAATATATTTCAAATATAAGGCAATTGAATTATGATTTAGTAAAGTACCGCTGTATCAATTGGCATTTTGTTTACATCTAAATGTGATAATTTTGATTTGTTGTGTTCTGTACTACTTTTACGTCGTTTGCGTGAATTATGTGTGTGAATCTGGGGATCTGCGTTTTCATCACCGGGTATAGCCTCGATCGTGGATGAAGCAGTAATTGTACCATCCTTTGGCATAACTACAGTAGTAGTCGCTACTATTTTATCAGAGGAGTTTAATTCTACAGCTTTGTGCAATGTATTGCGACAAGGTTTTCTGGAATATTCGCTACTGGGGCGATGCTCTTTCCATTCTCGTCTTGTCTGACTTTGCAAAATAGCACTGGTCTCAAAATCATCATCTGATCTTGATAAACAATTAAGGTCACTCAATAATGAGCCAGTAGAATTCAATTCTGCTATTGTGTTAAGCCTAAAATAATATAATATAACATTGTCATATAATCCAATGTAATTATCAGTCTTTGAGTATAAATTAAGATGCTTATATTTACTTTTCAATCGGTACGTCTTGAATATGTGTGTTACTTTGACGATTCAATGAAGTGTTATTAAGAAACTGTAATTTCTCTCTAGTTTCATGATTTAGATATTTCTCTCTATCATTAAATAGTAAATCTCTGGCTGTATCAATTTGTCCTTTCTGGAAAAGATATAAGTATGAATAATTGAGATTAAAAAAAGTTAAAGTATTCTTAGAAATAAAAAAAGTATCAGTTACTAAATAATCTCTATGATCCTCGACATCACGACGTTTATGATTCTCTTCTTCCAAGTTTCTTCTTGCGTGACGCAATTTTCTCTCAAGACCTGCAATTTCAGCATGAGCCTTATCCAAAGCTGAATGGAGTCGTTGACATTCTTGCACTGATGCCAGCCATTTCTGTCTCATCTCTTCTTGATTTAAAGCAAATCGTAGGAATTCTATATAGAACAATATTGAAGCAACACATTTATATCTATAATTTATCTATATAATAGATTTATTTTTATAACTGAACTATGTATACTGTTTTTGAAGATGAAATAGGTATACAGATTTAAAATTTGATTAAAATGAGAAGGAAAGTTTTAGTACAGTCCAATGTAGCAATTTTATAATTATTTTAGAAAAGTCGATCAAGACTATTACAAGAAAAGTTAAGAGAATAAATAACAACTAATATCGATCATATATGATTATTAACGAACCTTCTTCGCAGGCTCCATTTAACAAGACGTTCGTACATCTCACCAGCTCGTCGTAAGTTGCCAAAAGTGACAATGACATCGTTCTTATACTTTTTTGTTGTTTCTTTCGTGAACTATCACTCTGCTAACATGTTATCGGCCTGTAACTCTCAGCAATCCGTTTGTCGTAATCAGTAGTACTAGAATTCTCTAATAGTACACACAAACGGTTCAATAGGTTCAATGGAACGTTCGAGCAGTTGGAGCCACACGGATAACATGGTACGCGTCGGAGTTTTGAAAATCGCCCCTATTCTAACCGTTAAGTTGATAGAGACGACCTCTATCGGAGAAAACGCGAATTAGGGTGAAATCACATGGTGCGGAAAAAAAACTGCGGAATAGAGAATGCGTCATTGAAGCAACCAATCAGCGCTATTCGAAATAGCGCTGATTGGTTGCTTTAAAGGTGCCATCACATGCGGCGTAATCTGCGTAAGCGCAACCTGCGTATTCTAGTAATTTACTAGAATACGTTATTTTTTATTTACTAGAATACGCCATTCTGAAAGCCGGCATTCACATTGGGCGTATTTCGCGGAAGATTAGAGAAATGCGGAACTAATGCAACCATCCAATTGCTGATTAGAATTTCTGTTGTACACTCTAACAGAAATGCTAAACGAATTTACGATTGGTTTTCGTAACCTACGCAACTCGAAAAGTATGCCTCATGGGGAACCGGTACTTTCTATCGCGTACATACAATACGCGTTTGTACAAATTTAGAAGAAGAAAGTCTGGTTTATAATGTGGCCGTAATGCGGGGTCTACAATAGAAGTCGTAGAAAATTGACCAATCACAGTCGAATATGAGAAGAATAATCAGCTGTAATTGGTCAATTTTCTACGACCTTAAGACCCTACGACCGCTACGACTTTTATTGTAGACCCCGCATAAGACCGGACTATTGCTAGATTCACACTGCATCCGATTTTCGTCATACGACGGTCTGCAACCAATCAGAAAACAGGATTCCGATGAATTTTTTATCCAATCAGAAAACAGGATTCTGATAATACGAAGGAAAATTCATCGGAATCCTGTTTTCTGATTGGTTGCAGAACGTCGTACGACGAAAATCGGATGCAGTGTGAATCCAGCAATACGGGCAATGGTGTAAAAAAAACATTTTTTTACGCCACTGTAAAGCAGCAACCAGGCGATTTTTAATCGCCTCGTTAATTGGTTGCTGCTTCCGCTACTTGACGCTTGCATGTGAATGCACCTTTACTTCCACCATGAGCTGCCAATCCTCAAGATTTTAATCGATCAAATAATTATAATCTTTTTGTTCTGATTGCAGATTATAATTTGATCATTTAGATCAGAGCTGAGATTTAGTTGCACATTTCGGCCGATTTTTAGTTTGGTTCCTACCTGCTCTGATTTAGATAAATCTAATTTTAGTTTATTTTGTCTCGATTGAATTCTAATTTTTAATTAATTGATATATATATTTTTTACTTAATTTATAAATAAATTTTTTAAATATCTGATTAGAGATTTAAATGTACGCGCTTATAATTATATTAATATAATGAAATTCAGTATATTTTCTACTGATAAACAAACATTTTTTAGTAATGTAATTTTTAGAACGTCTATATGATAGCGTTGTGTATATGTGAGGAAAGAAAATAAAAAATATGATTATGTATAAACAAAATTCGATATATATTACAGTCAATTTTACATACATAATATTTATATACGTTAGAATAAATATTTTATAACTGGTGCGTGCAATTTTAATGGTCGCATTCAGCAGACACAACTGTCGCAGAATGGATCTGTGAGCGCTCATTGTTATTGGATAATCTAGAAGAACTACACCAAGCGCTCACAGATCTGCTCCGCAACAGTTGAGTCTGCTGAACATGACCAATATCTAACATATTATAAATATATTTTAAAAATTAAATATTTTCATATCATGAATCAAATTTGTACGTAACTTAGCATTCATTACTTCCGTAGGTATTAAACTTTAATTATATAACAGAAAAATTATATAACAGAGGCGATAAACAAAGATTTTTAGAAATTATTAGAAAATCTTTGTTTATCGCTTAAGTTTTAATACTATTTGGAGAACATAAACTATCTTTTTCAATACATAATATTTTCAGCTTGGAGAGTACAGAAATAAGCTCTGCCTGTGTATTTGCTATCTTTGCAGCAAGATAGATGGATTCCTGGAAACGCTTCTGACTATTTTTCAAGTTTTGTGGAACCAATACACCAAACCATTTTATAGGATCTTTTGGTCCATCTGCGTCATCGCTTAATTTTTTAAAACTGATGTCAAAACATGGCTCAGTATCATTATCCTCATTTATTGTTTTAGTCTCCAAATCAAACAAGGATGTCACTGTATCTTCGCTATTTGGAACTTGTAACATACCGATATTCTCCTTTCCACGAATATATTTTGCTTTTGCCAGCTCGATGTGGCCATCCTTCAGCAATGTTTCCATTTGAATATTTCCATGAACTTTTTCCTCTATTAGTTCTAATTTACGTAACATTAACTCATCAATCTCTTCTGATAAAACATCTATGTTTTTACTCATACTGTAATTTATAATTATCGCCACAAAAATTTATAATTACAGTATATGCATGAGATTTTATCTGAAAGCAAAATATCGAAAAGATTATATATAACATGAAACATTATTGATGTACATTCATTTATTATTAAAGAAATAAATATAAAAATACGTAATTTAAAAACTACAGCTATTATTTAAAAATATTTTATCAATATTAGAGGTGAGATAACTAAACTACCCAGATAGAGCAAGGCAACGTTCTAATGACATCTTATTGGCGTTAAAGACGTCATTAAAACGTTATTAAGACGTCATTTGACGTCGCTTTGCTACTTGGGTAATTAATTCCTAAAGATATACAACATATTTTATGTATTATCTATCTTATATCAAACAACTGGTAATTACGAAGGAGGCGGGAAACCTCACCAATTTTAATGAAATTAGGCTCATTCGATGCGTTTTTGCATAAAACGGAAGAATCTAGCAGAAGACTGTCTTCATGAGTTAAAAATATTCCAAACGGACACTGTCTAGGCTACAACTTCCACGCGGTTAGGCAACCGTTTTATGATTGTCTGCTGAGATAGGACCATTCTTCTAGATCTAAAAGTATGATCCAATTAGCGCGAAGGAAACTTCCAACAGTTGCAAAACAAACGTTCTGCTGAACGCAGCCATTCTTTGATTAATCAATTCGTAAAATTCTTTGTTCTGATTGGTCGCTCAAACGTTTCGAAGCGTTTGTAGCGTCAAGTGGACCGCAGCCTATATCGAGTCGATATGACAGATTTCCTAACCTAAATAGTCGTGAAACGCTTAATATCTTTGTTCGTGGGGCAGAGCGACGCTTTTTTCTGCCAGATTCTTTCGTTTTATGCAAAAATGCGTCGAATGAGCCTAATTTCATTAAAATCGGTGAGGTCGCCCGTCTCCTTCATAATTACCTCTTGTTTTATAAACGAATTCAATTTGCTCCTCCAATCTTTTATATTCCTTGAAAGAGATTGAACCAAACTCTCACATTATATTAAATCGAATGACATTAAAATTATTCTCGACTATTCTCGAGGTATTATTGCACTTGCAGAAGCACTTTTATGATAGCAAAATGAAATCGTTCTTTCTCACTTCTCGCTCTCATCTCTCTCGATCTGCACTATAGCGTACCTGGATTGCAGATAATTTTATTTATTGCGCAGATCAGTTTTAAAGGTCAATTACAAAATCCGGTTCTTTAGCAGCTCTTTTACCTTCGTAAAAAATAAGCTAAAAAAGTGTCAAACAAAATATTTCTTTTATGAGACAAAATTATAGTAGAATCTGTAGGCCTGTCCTTTTTGGCTGAACTTTTGCACCAGTTCATCTTTCTTTCTCTTCTTTCTTTCTGAAGAGAAAAGGAAGAAAGATGAACTGGTACAAAAGCTTAGCCAAAAAGAACAGGCCTTATATGTTATGTATCTGCACTGACTGCACCATGAATGAGGTGCAAAGTGAATTGTGCTTCGGTTCGAGTGTTGCAAAATTTCAGCAAAGTTCGATGAAACTAATTGTTATTGGACTTTTTAAAAGAAAGGTATATAAGATAAAAAAAGTTGAGAAGTAAAAATATATTAGAATTGGAGCTTTGTAACCTCAAGAGAAGACTAAAGGCGATCAATCAGTGAAAATAAACCCTGTATTTTTTTAAGGATTATTAACAAGTATCACATAAACATGACTACACCCGTATTAACAAAGAAGCAGCAGAGGCATAGTTTATCAGCTAAAACAGGGCCTATCAGGGGTTTACGGAATATTTTGGCACAACCTACTCAGAATTTCTGGTATTTTTACATGATGTTAATTTTGGAGCATTTTCCATTTGTTTTAATAATTTGATGTAACAGTATTAAATATTTAAAGACGAACATTTATTTATAAACATTGTTGAAGCTAACATTTTACTAAAGATGATTGCAGTTTGAACTTATTTTTGCAAAATGTTTTCTTAGGCCAATTATCAATGTAGATCAATATCCAGAGTTGATGACAAACTTAAATACGTAAGTATGTGATTTAAAACATAAATAATCTTAAAAAATATCATTTTTAATCATTGTGGAAATGTTTTATAGGATATTACCATCAATAAAGAAATTTAATTGTAAAATCTCTAAGGATATGCTTAAAAACCTAACAAAAAAAGATCGTGCATTAGCTAGGAAAAAAATGTTAGAAGAGGCACCTCCAAAACCAGATATACTGTAAGTACCTTTTGCATTATATAGTTATAAATAGTTAAAAATTTAGCTATTTTATCTGATTTATAAATTTTAGGAAATTCATGGTTATAGGTATTAATGAAGTTACTCGAGCCTTAGAAAAGGATAATGTATGTAGCGTCTTATTAGACGCTAATATTGATCCATTTATATTAATAAAACATATTATTTCTATGGCAGTGAACAAAAAAATACCTGTTCTAATGCTGCCCATGCTGAGAACAGTCACAAAAGAAAAGGGATTTCCCTCAAGAGTTCTTGCTTTAAAGGTAAGGTATTAATATTTTATTATTTTAAACATATTTTTGTAAATATTTCTTAGAGATCTATTATTTCTTACAGCAAGAGGTAATGCAATGTCCAAATAATGTTTGCTATCCAATATACAAATCTATAGCAGAGGCTTTTAAAGACTTTGAACCACCAGAATGCTTGTCTCAATGTTTTCAACCAGATAAAGTATCTGATAAAAGCACAATGTATAAAGCAGAGATCACAGAAAGGGATTCTGATACAAAGCCAAATATTTCTAAGCCAGAAAAATCTGTTGTTGTATTTGCAGATGTGTATAAATACAGATCTTCACGAGATAAAAGAGCTTTTGTACCGCCAGCAATCAACAAAAGTTCTCAAATCTCTCAAACACTATCGGATAATTTTATTCCTTCAGACAGTGATCTTGATACTGTCAATGATAAAAATTGTGCAATTTTATCAAAGAATGAGAAATATATAAATATCGGCAAGGAAGAAAAGTGTATATTAACATCTGAAAATATAGAAGAGAATCAATCTTTTAATGAATTAAAATTAACAAAAAATAAGGTAGATTCAACGAAACAAACAAACATATTAAGTTCTCAAATCTCTCAAAAATCGGATGATTTTATTCCTTTAAATAGTAATTTTGATTTTGTCATGGATGAAAATTGTGCAAGTACATCAAAGAATGAGAGATATGTAAATATTAGCAAGGAAGAAAAACGTACACTAAAATCTAAAAATACAGATGAGAATGATTTAAAAAATAAGGTAGATTCAACAAAGCAAACAAAAAATATATTAAAAAGACCCAGAAATGATCAACCTAATTATTTATCATTAAAAATAAAATGTACACAAGGAAGTAAGAAACGAAGAAAAGCAACTAAATTTGCTAAGAAAAAAGGATAGAAGCACTTGACAGTTTAGTAGTAGAATAATTGTCCAGCAAGAACAAAAGAGAGAGAGAGATCTGGGTGCAATTCTCAGTATGATCCTGCATGTGGTATAGGAATTTTGAATGGAAAAACATTCTACCGTGATGAATACAAGAATAAAAAATATAAATTAAATCCTAAGATATAACTCATGTAATATTGGAAATAAAGAATTTGTATCGCTTTGAAGATTCAAATAACAATTACAATTCGTTTTCCAATTGTCTAAGGTAATCAAGTATAATCATATTTGTCTTATTTCATGTTAGAAAATTGTCAATAAACGTTGTATTTGACACTCAACTAATTAATAAATAAATTTTAATATTTGGAGCTGAAATTTGTGCTATAGCTTCAAATATTGGAATATAGTCGTTAACTCTCTAATTGAGTGTCAAAAATAAATTCTGTATAAAAAGAAAAATAGAACAAAAATATTATGTACAATAATAAAAATATATTGTAAATTATTACATACATTATATACAAGAATTAACTCTACCTTTTTCATTATCAATTTACTTATACTAATAAATAGAATTGTATTTACTAATAATATAACTAACTCAATTAAAAAATTTCACTAACAAATTGTAACAAAAATACAGTAACCCCCCATTTTCACACATATAAATTATACATAGTATAAGATTAGAGCATGTAAATTGTGTGTTGGATGTATGAAAACGAATTCAAGTTAGTTTTCTCAGTATTAATTTTAATAACTAGATAATAGATAAATGATAATTCATTTAATATCCATATTTTTCTCAATATAAACTTTATACGATGCTTTAAAAAATTTTACAAAAGATGGAAATATTGTTTTTCTTTTTATTATGAAACATAATTCTAAGCATAGTAATGTTATCTCTCACACAGGTAAACTTGATTTTACAGATGATCTAAATATTCTTGTAAAGAACATAAGGCCAGTTGTACCTCCTGGTATATGACTTATTAAAAAGGACAATGTAGCTATCAGCTGCAAGATAGCACATAATACTGTCAAAGGAGTCGATTGCAAATGCAGAGCAAAGTAAAGTGTGCCTGTTAATGTTGCAAAGTACAATATGGTAAAGTACTTCTTCTCAGCTAAGAATAATGATTTCATATAACTTGATCCCCACAAAAAACAAAAGCTGGAAGAAATCTTTTATTAGAAATATGATATTCTTCTCTATATATTCACAGATATATCTCATATTATTTTTTAAATATGTATATATGTACCTCATTAAAAAGAAGAGACTTCCTAAGGAATAAAGTAGAGCAAATTTTCTTGCTTTAAGTAATAAAACGGGAATATAAATCGCTGATAGACAAAAGCATAACAATCCCAGAAGAAAACATACAGCGAAGGATATGAGTCTTTGTGTTCTCGTCTATCAAAGTAAAGAAATCAATCTTTTATAAAAAGGTAATATTCAAAGTCATTGATATAAATTTTATTCAATAAGAATTATAGCATAAAGTTAGTTTTCTAATCGATTTAATTTATGTTTACCTATTTATACTTTTAAATATATTGATAAAAAAAGATTTTTCATTGATAACAATGGATGTTTTTTAATAAATTTACATAAACAAAAGTTGATCAAATTTGATTTCACAGTTTTCCTACAGAAATATAAAAATACTTCAAACTACAGAAACGTGAAAAATGTCAGATACCATCTTACGTACACAAATAAGATTAACTTCGACTAAATTCAAATTAACCAGCGATTAATTCAATCAGTAAAATTTATCAGAACATTGATCTCAACCATATAATTTGTAATAACAAAAATTTGTTTTAAGTTTACAAAATACTACAAGTATTTACTCAACAGGTTAATCGTGATTAAATGAATTTAGAGAGACAACGTCTTAAATTTTAAACGATTAAGTCATCTCGCATTACTGCTTTGTATTAACATTTTTTTTTGAGTTAATCAGAATTTTAACATTTAGTCAATATTAGTGCAAAACATCCGTCGAGTCGTTAAGGTTATGAGACAATGCCGTACCATAGCAGGACAACATTCTCTCTGTGATCTTTGGACCCATCCTGCGTTCTCCTCCGTCTCGTCGGTACTTTTTCCGAACCATTTGCCAAAGTTTGCTTTCGATATCGCTACCGATGGAACGGCGATTTTATATTGTTTATCATTTTTGCTACTGAGGAGATATTCGTTCAGCTCCTTATTGAGATCGGCCATTTTGACATGTCGCTATGTTCACGCCATTGAAATTGTAAACAATGAAAGTTATCTATTGTGAGAGAGAAATCGCTTTTATCAACGATAAGTAAACGCTTTAATTAGCAAACTATTTTATCGACTACAGCGACTTATTTTATCGATCGTGTGTAGAGAGTTGATCGTACAAGATAATACAAAAATAATCGATTAGAAACATTTAAAGATACGGTCAAATTACATTTGTATGATTTATATTCCACTGGTTTCTATTCTCCATATATCTAATCATTCGTATATTTGATTTTTAGACGTAAATTCGCATTTATATTTCGAACCGATTATAAAGAGAGCTTTTTATTTTCACTGTTCTGAGCATAAAAGTATATTTTATTTTTACTAATAATTTTTATTTTTTAATTGTGACAAACTATTGCGGTAATCGATTAGGTAAATACTCTAAGTTATAAG